TGAAAGACTACTAAAATGCCCCTCCCTTTTCCAACTACACTACACGTCTGTGCAAGGCTGAATTTCCCGAGTTTACTTCATCCAAACAACATATTCCAACAGATTAAATGTGGAAGTAGAATGAGAATCCAGCTGTCTTTTACTACATTAAAGACTTTATGACGTTATTAAAGACAAAATAATGTCTTCTACAGACATTAGAAAGATTTGCAAAACTGTAAAGCAACGTCACTTTTCTCGCTCATTTTTGAGGGTTTTTTTTAAGTTATTTTTCACAAAAAAATACGTCTTATGTTTACATGTAATAGTTTATATTTTTTAAATGTCCCAGTTTTCATTTCGAATGTTGGTTAACATTGACAGTTAAAGCCCACATAAACCAAAGCTCCTCGAGGGTCTCAACAGTTAAAGATGAGAAGGGTCCTGAGATGAGAGTCTGAGAAGTCTGCCTTGGGCAGCCGCCTCACCCCTACATGGGGCCGCGGGGTCAAGCATGGGGTGACTGCTCGGGAGAAGCAGCTCAGCCGGAGCAGGAGGGTCTCACTCATGCTCGGAGAGCAGCAGGAAGGGGCCAGCTGCAGGGTCACGGGGCAGGCAGGGCGTCTGGAGGGTGGGTGAGCAAAGGCTTTGTGAAGGGGGGTCCTGCTCCCACTGGGTGTTAAAGGTGAGGCATTCCCGCCAAAGGATGGGAAGTAGAGGCAGCAAGGGTCATGGAGGGCCCTGGAGGCCGAGGAAGGCTCTGGGCAGCCCCCAAGGTGTGAAAGATGGTGTGAGACCTGAGGGAAGACGACAGAGTACTCACGGTCTTTCTGGTGCCCCTCTTCATCTAGGTAGGTGTTAGTTTTCATGTTCCAGATAAACTGATGCATCAGAAGCTGGGATTTGGACGCCGCCCATAGAATATACTCCCGCACGTAGCCCATCTGTAGGAGACAAGGTCACCGTCAGCCCAGGCTTGGAGCCCCTCTCCACTGAAAGAGACACTTCCTAACCCAGAGCAGAAGCTGACTCCCAGCACTTGCAGACTAAGGAGTCTCCAGAACAGGGTGCTGGTTCTGGCGCGCTGAGCTGAGGTACACCTGGCTTCCTCCTCCCCTGCTTGTCCCAGAAGTATATACACATTGGATCCTAAAGAACGTTCATTCCATCTTTACGGAGTGGAGGAATCAGGTGATGGTTCCAAAGTCCTCCAAAAGGGACACTGTGCCCCAACCCAGATCTTTGGGGTGGGAGGGCTGTGGTGTACCCTCTGCCTCCCTTGTCCCCGGAATCCCACTCCTCATTAAAGAAGTAATCAAATCTTGCTCGGCTCCTGGGCGCTGGATGGGAAAGGCTTTTCTGCATCAGGAATGGGGCACACAAGAAAGAGGGTGCAGACATTGGGTAGATGACGGGCAGGCATGTTTGCAAGGACCTGAATAAGGAGCGGGGAGGCGAGCGGGCCTGGGGCGCCAGGCGATAGGACAGCAGCACAAGGTCCAGGGGCTTACGTGCACTGTAAGGTCCTGTGCCCCACGCAGAGGGCACTGTGGTCGCCTCAACCTAGGGCCCAAGGATGCCCGGCATCGCCGGGCCCTCCCTCCGCCTTCCGCTACCCCCAACCTTCCCGCCAAACCCGCATCCACTCAGGAACCACCACACTCGGCGCCTCGAGCAAGAGCCAATGGAAAGTAGGATTCCCGGCGTCGGCCCGCCCCCAGGCGCTCCGGCCCAATGGCCGCGGGGCAGCGGCGGGCTCCTCTGGGGAGCGCGCTCGGCGGCGGCGGTTGAGGGCGAGGAGCGGTTGAGGGCGAGGAGC